CATTTCTTCAAACGGATGTGTGAATAACTCCTCTGACATACCAACTGAAGCGGCTGTGGTGCTAGTTTTGGTGGTGGCGGCAGGCGGGTGAGTGGCATCTTGAGAGGTGCCTGAAGCTAAGCTGGAGGAGGATGGTGCGTCAAGGTTCTGAGCGGAGGTTGTAGAAGATTGGGTGTCCTGTGTTAGCCAGTCAACTATGTCCTCAGAACTTTTCAAGTTCAGGGTACGTGGCCTCTGAAAACTGGGCATTATTCTAGGGCCAAAGGGAATCACAGCACCACGACCACGATGGCCCCTGCGGGTGGCCTGCCTCTGCCTGTCATTTTTGTTGGGATTAGGGGTACTATGCGTGCAAGCTACTGTGAGACCAGATATGAGTGGCAATGTGCACTGGCACAGTTGTGCAGAGCACAGGCTGCAGGCCTGACACCCGCTTGAAGATAACTAACTGCTATTCAATCTATAACAGTGAAAAAAGTTTTTTGTTTTTTTAAATCCAAGCTATTGTGACACCGGATCTAATTAGTGGCACTTGTCAGCGTATCCACTGTTAGCGTAACACACCCGCTTTAAGGACACTGACTGCTATTCAATCTATAATAGTAAAAAAAGTTTTTTGTTTTTAAATCCAAGCTATTGTGACACCAGATCTAATTAGTGGCACTTGTCAGCGTATCCACTGTTAGCGTAACACACCCGCTTTAAGGACACTGACTGCTATTCAACCCATAACAGTAAAAAAAGTTTTTTGTTTTTAAATCCAAGCTATTGTGACACAGGATCTAATTAGTGGCACTTGTCAGCGTATCCACTGTTAGCGTAACACACCCGCCTTAAGGACATTGACTGCTATTCAATCTATAACAGTAAAAAAAGTTTTTTGTTTTTAAATCCAAGCTATTGTGACACCAGATGTAATTGGTGGTACTGACTGGGGAAATGGGCACAGTATGCACTGTGAGCCTGACACAGAAGCTGGCAGCAGTGGCAGACAACTGACTGCTATTCAATCTATAACAGTGAAAAAAGTTTTTTGTTTTTAAATCCAAGCTATTGTGACACCAGATGTAATTGGTGGCACTGACTGGGGAAATGGGCACTGTGAGCCTGACACAGAAGCTGGCAGCAGTGGCAGACAACTAAGTGCATTTACATTAGATAGAAAAAAAAATCCAAAAAAAGCATACCCTTATCCCTAACCTAGCTATGCTTTTCCCTATCTTATGAACAGCAGCTACACTTTCCCTCCTCTTACTAAGCATGCAGCTTGAGAATGAATCTAAAATGGATGCTGTCCAGTAGGTGGGAGGGTCTGCTAGGGAGGCTGTGCTGCTAATTGGCTGGAATGTGTCTGCTGACTGTGAGGTACAGGGTCAAAGTTTACTCAATGATGACGAATAGGGGGCGGGTCGAACCGCGCATATGTTCGCCCGCCGTGGCGAACGCGAACATGCTATGTTCGCCAGGAACCGTTCGCCGGCGAACCGTTCGGTACATCACTAATCACTGAGGAGGTTGGGGGAGAAGGGGGAAAGAACCACTAAGGAGGTGAGGGGGAAAGGGCCACTAAGGAGGTGGGTGTGAGAAAAAAATTCAGCAAATTCTTTAAAACAGGATTTTCCTTTTGCTTTTTAATGTGTTTTATTAATCAGGTTTTAGCGAATAAGTTCACAATCTGTAATGTAACTGAAACTCCCATTAGTCATGGTATAATCTGAAGCTTTGCATTGCATTTTGATACCAGTAGCTGCTGCATTTCCCACCCTAGGCTTATACTCAGGTCAATACGTTTTCCCATTTTTTTGTGGTAAAATTAGGTGCCTCTGCTTATATTCGGGCCGGCTTATACTTTAGTATATACGGTATATAAAAGTACATTTCTCAATACATACCATTTTAAAAACAAATATAAAAGAGGCAAATTAAAACCAATGTGTCTTATTACAAAGGCTAGTCAAATGAGAGGGATCGATTGCATCCTAAAACTAATAACAGCATGTTAATAGGGCTTGCAAAAGAGCGGTTAGATGGGCTAAATTTGAAAATGAAAAGAGAGCAATACCAACCCCAAAAGGTTATGAGTGAAAGTGTTGGTCATTTGGAAAGTAAGATGGGTGAGTTAATCAAGGAGGATCAGGACAAGGCAGACATTTTAAATAATGGTTTTTCTTCAGTATATAGGGAAGATAGATCTACAGCAAACAGTGTGCTTCTGTGTGTGTGTGTGTTAGTCAATGTGCCAGTGTGTGTATCTGTGTAAATATGTATGTACGTATGTGTTTGTCAGTGTGTGTGTGTGTCTCAATGTGTATGTGAATAAATTAATCTCACTTCCGAAATTCGGGACTTCAGCAATTCGGCACTTTGGCTCAGTTCAGCAATTCGGTTAGGTTTGGCACTTCCGAAATTCAGCAATTCGGCACTTTGGCAATTCCCTAACCCTACCCCTAACCTACCCCATACCCATACCTCTAACCCCTAGCCATAGCCCTACCCCTAATATAACCCCTAACCATACTAGGGTTAGGGGTTAGGTTAGGGGTAGGGTTAGGAGTAGGGGGGTTAGATTCCGGTCATCATTCCCTTAATTTTCTCTCCCTCTCCTGTTTTGCCACTTTTCAGAAATCTGAAGCACTTCGGCATTTCCGAAAGTCGGCACTTCGGCAATTCGGAAACATCCGAATGTCCGAATTGCCGAAATTCATCCAAATTTAAATTCAGACCGAAATGAATTGCACGTGTCTACCTTGAACTGGTATAGCCCAAATAGGGTGACAAATGCCGACTTAGGGATGGCCGCTGGCTCCAGGAAAATTTGCCAATAACTCCACAGATCTATGGTAGTGAAGTAATTCCCCCAGCCATATGATCTAGCATCTATCCATGGCATGGGTTAGGCATCTGTGACTGTGTGGTCATTAAGTTTACAGTAGTCAACACAGAAGCGAGTCATACAGTCTCGTTTAGGTACCAGTCCTATCGGAGAGGCCCAGTGGCTCTGAGACGGCTCTATTACCTCTATACTTAACATTTTCTGAATTTCTTTCAGCAAGTTTATCCTAACTGATTTAGGGATATGGTAGGGTGGATGCGGTAATGGGGTGTCTCCCTGAGTCTGTACTCTGTGGACCACAGCGGAGGTGTACCTGGGTAGGGCAGAAAACATTTCACGGTGTCCCTGGAGTAGCTGGGTGGCTTCAGCTTTTTCAAGGGGGGTTAGCTTTTCCCCTAGGCTGACCTGCTCTACGCTGCCCGGGGATGGGGTGTAAAATCTGGTTTGGATCGTTAATGTTGAATCTTCTTAATTTCTTCTTGTCTTCAGTTGATTGATATATATACATCTTTTGTATATATAGTCTTGGGCCAAATATAATGCTCGGCACATTAATATATATCTATATTAATGAAAAGTACTAATACGCAATCTGACTTACGGTTTCTTCAGGTTTATTCTTAGTTACGGATACATAATAAAACAACAAATGATGTTACAGGATAATGGACATTCAACAGCAGATGGTAATTGCTGGACTTCTGATGGGAGAGTTACATCTTGTACAGGAAAGAGAGCCAAGAGCCAAGAGAGAGCCAAGAGCCAAGAGAGCCAAGAGCCAAGAGAGCCAAGAGCCAGGAGACCTTGTGTCTCTTTGTTCAGTTACTATATAGAAGTGCCATAATGATGTTAGACTATAACTCTAGCCATATAAGGACAAGACCCCCAAATCCACATTCCAGAGCTCTCGGACAAAGAAAGCCTTGTGACTTATACCATCTGTTACTTATGTCAATCCACACATCTATATATAATCAATAGAAACATAGAATATGCAATATTCTACATTGGGCGAGCAGGTCATGTAAGGGCAGGTTCTCATTATCTTCGAAAGAGGGGGCACATACCGCAGCCATGTCCCCTGTCCTCTCAAAATAGGGTTTTAACATGTTCACGTGAAAATATCGTCGTATCCTTTCATCTGAACATTTTCCTACAATGTATGTAGTGTCGCTTATGCCCTCCACTACCTGGAAGGTGCCCTGCCAGGCGGCTTCAGAGTTAATACCTTCTGTCCTATTTCTAGGACCCTATCCCGGTAGGCAAACAGGAGGTGGGGAAGGAACCTTCCCAGTGCCGACAGGAGGCTGTGAATGTTTTGAGCATCTGTTGGAGCGTACCATTAAGATGTTCACAGAGTCCATTTGGTAGGAAGAACTAAACAGGGGTTTTACCCCATAACTGTTACAATTGCTGGGTCACAGCTGCCGTAAATTGGGTCCCCTGGTCAAACAAGATCTCCCAAGGGAAACATACTCTAGTAAAAATTTTAACTAGGGCTTCAGCTATGGTTTCTGCATCTACATTAGGGAGGGCTACGGCCTCTGGATACCGAGTAGCTACTCGGTGGAAGGGTTCCTCGATTATGGGTAACGGGTGTAATTTGGCTTTGGGATAGGCTCTTTTCTATCTTTTGGAGACATCACAGGTCCTGCAGTAATTCTGCAGGTCCCGTGT